ATAACAATAAGTTCTTAATTCAAGTATATGTTCATTTTCGTATGTATCTTCTGAGCCGTTACAGTATGATGAAAATAATTATCTAGTTACGTTCCAAAAACAGGATTATTGGCTATGATATAGAAAAATCGTTTTCATGTTTCTCCTCTTCGGCGCATAGAGTCCATCCTGTACGAAGAGGTAAGACATACTCGGAAAATCCGCGCCCATTAGTTTATATTAATACGAACATAAATCGGTATACCCGTGCCCATTTTAAATTTTATTCGTTTTTGTTTAATGTTGTAGAGAAAGTTGTGCATGAAGAACTCATCAAGCGAGATGATTCAAGTGCTTATTTAGCACTCATATCAAGACTTTCTAATATTTCAGTCTCGTCTATATCCATCTCAGAATTTTGAGAGTCTTGTTCTAATTCTGCAAGTTCTGAGTCAACTTCTTCGTCATCATTGTCATCACTAGTATGTTTGGCCTATTTATTTTTGATGATTACTTTATCTATTGATGACTCTTAGGCACAGGACTCCCTGGATTCCTAGGATTCCCATGGGATTCCCGGGATTCCCATGATTCCCGGGATTCCCAGGATTCCCGTGGGATTCCCTGGATTCCCTGGATTCCCATTGGATTCCCAGGATTTCCAAGATTCCCAGGATTCCCATGGGATTCCCTTGGGATTCGGAATCCCGGGAATCCGCCGTTTCCCCCTTGATCAAATGGCTATAATAGCACATCCAAATCGTGTAAGTGATGTACGTGCAAGTTATGATGGACAATATTTATTTACAAGTAGTGGACTTAATAATGTTGTACACATGCTACGTGTTAATCCACAAGTATTTACAAGCACAAGCACAATTAAGTGGAAAATATTTAATACCATTTTATAAATTATTAGAAGGTAGAAGAGATGGTGAAATATTTCGATAAATGGAAAATTTATTTTATTGTAGTCAATCAAGACAGTAAATTTATTTATTTATTGACAAATAATCAAAATTATTATTTATTTATTTTAGTCAAGATATAAATCGTTTTGATCGTCGAGAAGTAACACAAAAAATTCTATTAAGTGAAATTCCATTTGTCATGAGAGCATTAGGTTATTATTCAACTGAATAAGAAGTAATTATTATTAATAAATATATATATTATTTAAAATATTTCAATTTCTGTGGTTTTTTTATTACATTGAAGAAATGCTTAATGGAGTTAAATTTAATACTTATATTGATACAAAATACTTATGTTGAAGATATTGATCTGAATGATTTTATTAAATGTAAAAGAACATTTTCTTTTATTTTTTTAAATAATATTTTAATAAATTTATTTATTTATTTATTTCTAGTATATATAAATCATCTACCAGCATTTGGTCTTAATCCAGCTGATCTTAATCAAGCATTTAATGGTCTTTCTGATCAATTAAATCCTGATAATAATCAACCACAAATAACTCGTGAAAATCTTTTATTTCTTTTACAACAATATGGTGAACATATGAATGATTATGAAATGGCGGATTGTTTAGGTAATTTACTTCATTTACATAATGAATCAACTGAAATGTTTGATACAATGAATGTTGAAGATGCTTGTAATATTGATTTGATTTTTCTTAAAAAAAAAAAGATATAAGTTCTTTTATATTTAATTAGGTCAATTTATTGGTAATCCATTCCCTGAATAAGTAATAATAGAAATATTTATGGAAGATTTATTAAAAATGCCATCACAATATGTTGATCAAGTTATTTATCCTATTCAAGCACAACAACAACAGCGATTATCATTAATTCCACAAAGAGAAAAAAGAGATCCGTTTCAGTTGAACAACAGCAACATGCTCGTTCAGCTATGACACCAACAACATGTAGTAACACATTAGTTTCAAATGATTCTTAAATAATTACATATTTCTTTTTATATTTATATTCATTAAATATAATAAAACTGAAAAAATCATACCTCTCATGTATATATTTTCCCAAAATGAAAACAACTTTATTACAATTAGAGAGAAGATAGAGGGATTTCAGATCTGACATTGAGGATCATAACCATTCTGTGTCTTCAACTGACCATTTATTTTTTATCGTATGTTTATGTTAAATACAAAAAAAGTTGATATGACATGAAATAAAAAATACATAATCCTCTGTTCTATATTACAATAACAGTTTCAGTTTGTCGTTCATTTAAAGTCTTCACGAAAGAATAATCGATTTGGTGATATCCATCGTCTGCCTTGTGTTTTATCATCAAATTCAATCATCCATTCATTTTTTAAACCAAATCTGATTAATCTTGCTGAATATACCTACAATACACAAAAAGAAATAATAACAAATAAGTGATAAAGTTGAGTTACTAACTTTAGCATCATTCAATACATACAATGGGCTATTTAATTTCAGTCTGAAATTATCAAATAAAAATAATACTTGATTTCAAACTGAAACGTGAGTCTAGGAGTGGTGGGGGAGGGGGTGACTGAGGGTGTGGGTGTTGGTCTGGGACCCACACACACCCACACCCATGGTGCGGGTGTGGGCGCGCGAGTGAGGGTGAGGCTGTGCTTGTGGTTTTGTGTACTATAGGCTTTAGTCCCCTGCGCAGGGGACTAAGCGGGGACTTTGCAGGACTAGGGGGACTAAGGGTTTTTAGTGAGACTACGTAGTATCAAACGAGAAAAGTTTGATTCGGAAGAAATTGGTGTGGTTTTTTTGATTTTAGAATTCAGTTTGAAATAAAAAAGCCCATAGACTCATTCAATAATACCAATACTTTATCGCCAACACGAAATACTTTTGGATTATGTGCTGGTGGATGGTTGTTTGAACTAAAATTAAACATGAGAATTTACAGAATATAAGGAAACCTATGTACATTGATATCTATGATCGGATACAGGACAGAATTTAGCATACATACCTATTGTTAATAATTGTGCACAGTTGTGAAAAAACTGTTTGAAAAATCGAAAAACTGTCAGAATCAAGTTGATGCATATGTTGTAATTCCAGAAATTCATCTGATTTATAATCTTTAGTCGTACTATGACTTACAGCATATTATTTGATTTCCTTAGCTAAATGAAAATCATCATTTACTTCTTTCTTTTCTTGAAGGTATTTTAATATTTTTTCTTCACTAATTTTAAATTCTATCGATATATCATGGACAAGTTTGAACAAAAAAGTATATTTATTCGATAATTCGATTATATCATTTTCATACACGATACTTAATATATATTTTGGTAATGCACGTTTTTGTCTATTTCTTCATGTAATTTTTTGTGAGCCATGAGAAATAAATCACGAATAAGTATACGTTTTTCAAGAATTTTTTCTTTTTCAACTCTTTTCTTTTCACTTGTTTCTATTTCATTGAGTTTTGTTTTAACTTGTTGTAAATTATTCCTGAATTCTTCATTTTCTTTTTCAAAATCGTTTGTCTTTTTCTAAATTAGATATGAAAAAAACTAGAATAATATAGTAATTCAAAAGTCAATAATTATTACCGAAACATGTTCGAAAATCGTGAACACAGCACTAAAACTGGACTCAAGACAATCCATAAGTTCCTTAAATGCTTTTTCCAATTGTTGTGTATCAATGGCTAATATCAACCATTTATTTTTCCAATTATTAAGATTGGTTTTTAATTGATCATATACATCTTGTATTTGATGATCATGTTTATATTGTTCTGATGAACGAAAATCATTTTTTATTGCATCAATTAATTCGTCATATAATTTTATTATCATATCACATTCATTTTGTTGTTGATCAGGTCCTTTTATTTGATTTTCGTACAATTTACATAAAGCTTTTTTCACTGATGTGCTAATAAAAGCTTCATTTTCAATGCGATCAATCATATACGATGGTTGTGTTGTTGTTGACATATTTATAATGAACCTGTAAATTATTATTACAAAATAAAAATAAAATGATTTTTTTTATGCCAATCTTCGTCCCTTACGATGATAAGATATAAACAATTACAACCAATCAAACTGCAGCTCCCAGGTCAAAAAAGCACGGTCGTATACGACGAAGTACGTCTAGAAACGGCCATCGTACACGACGATCGCATACGATGAACGTATACGTTGAAAATAAACGACTGCCGTGCACGCGTGTAGTATACGACTGTATATGGTCGTAAGTTAGTCGTAAGTTGAGTTGCATGTGTCGACCATACCCAGGTCGAAAAATCACATAGTAAGATCAGTTATGAATTCTTGTATGATCCTATTCGATGTTACTCAAAAATCGTGTATGTTCATACAAGATGACACAAAAAAAATCATATGAAAAATTGTCGTCTCAGAAATCTGATGTCAATTCTTCTAGCAAGTTTCTTAGATGCTCCAACACTAAAATCTTGTATGATTATAAAAAAAATCGTACAGTAAGGTTTTAACTGATTTCTTTAAAAACATACATTCTCGTCATGTTTCACCTTCCCTGGCAGCTACAGTTCAACGTAACTTCACATAGCCCAGATCTTTTTACTTACTGAACCCGATGCATATGTGCCTACACCGGCAGTTATCATTACATAATAAAATTCATAGCATAATAGTTACAAAAACTCATGCATAAAAAAGTTTACTCTCTATACCGTTAACAAAGAGAAATAAGAAATAAAAGTTAAGATTTTCTACATTACCAATATAGAAAAAACAAAAAACTAAAGAATATGATCTTCCGTATTGTTAATATGGAAAAGTAAGAAAAAAATGGGACTTTTTGTACTACTAATATAGAATATAATGAATTATTGCTATTAATATCATCAAATGAAATAAAAAAGTTCATAGCAACGAGCAATTCATGAAAGAATCGAGTTTATTATGAATTCTCATACGTATGAGATTGAACTGTTGCCCAGATTTTCATACCAGCTCTCACAAATGAATTTATTTGAGCTATGACACATCTATTGAAAATTCTTCTCTTCAAATATTAATTTTTTCTTTGGCAATCAACATTAAAATCTTAATTATTCTATTTCCTACATGTATTCAGCGAATATACGTCATTATACTGAGACAAAAATAAATCATAATAATATATCTTCAACTAGTAACATTTCACAAGTGTGTTGTTGAGTTTAAATGAATTTCGGTAATAGACATATTCAAAAAAAATTGTTTTATTCGATGCAATTAAAATCTTGAAATTTATTTATACAAACTTTTCTCTTAGAATATTTTTATCGAACAAACTCGAAAATTTCAATTAGCCTTTCATTCTCTTTGTTCTGTCTTGTTGCAATAAGTTGATTTTTCCATTTTCATATGATTTATTTCTATGAAGAATTTTTTTTTATTGAAATAATATTAATAAAGATAATCACTTCTAAAATAATGTACTGAAATAAAATTTCATCTATTCAATATCGGATATTATTCTTATTATTGTTGGTTGAGTTCATTCCGTTCGAACTTTATACAAATCGTTCATAGATAGAACAAATCAAGATAAAAGAAAATATATTCATTTATTTCTATAATTATACGTATATCATACGATTGAGAAGAAGACAGTGATGCGTGTCTTTATTTTATGCTTGATAATTTAATTCAAAGCAAAATCATCATTGATTTTTTTCATAATCAAAAACTATATTCTATATTTTTCAATTGTCATATATAAGGAATATTATTCTGTAAATAAATCGATATTTTTACGTATGTTGAATCATATCCCGTCATGTTGTTTTAAAATATTGTATGATAATATTTGTTTGCTTATTATGAATTCTTTAATACTTCTCAATAAATTTAACATGCAAACATCAGTAGAGTCAATATCTACCTATGGAAAATAGAGCAATATCTATCAGAATATCCAATAATTTCATCGATCACTATATTAGGTGTCGATTGGACATTATATTAATTATTTAAAAATCGAAATAAAATGAATAGACTACAATGAATATGAATGTTGTTCATAATTGTTATTTAAAAATTTTTGTTATTTTCTATTGTTTGATTGACATTTAGCTATGCATTTATATATTTATTTCGATTTTTGTCACCGAAAAATTTATTAAAATTAAAAATAAATATAATAATAACAAAATGTTTTGAAAACTGAGAGAAAAGTCAAATGTCGAATGTTGAATAAAATAATACTCAGATATTGTCATGGAATTGTTGTATTCAATATAAATACTAATTAATTAATCTAAGCAAAACAAAGACAATGATTTTAGATGAAAATTCAATCAAATACCCGTTTTTCTCTACGTTGCTCAGTTACATCTCTAAGTGCTTTAGTTCGTTGATGATCAACATCTTTATAATCAGATATCCATTGTTCTTGACGACAATCTATCACTGGAATTTGAAATACACGAGATTGTATTTGCGATCTTTCTCTATAATTAATATTATGTGTTGTTTGTATACTTTCTGATGGATTTAAATAACAATCAGTTAATGAATCTATTAAATAGAAATAAACAAAATAGAAGAACACGAAAAATCAATTAAATTAAATCTACCACGATTAATTGATTCCTTGTCATGATTAACCGATTGAGATAAAGCTCCAGGCATCATTGGAAAATAATCAACATCAGAATAAGATATATTTATTCGATTAACAATAGGTGGAGCATTTGAAGAAATAATAAGTTCATCTTGATTTAATGATGATCTTTCTTTATTTTTCTTTTTCTTCTTTTTTTTATTTTCATTATTATTATTAACATTTAAATCATTTGAAGATTCACTTTTTTTCATTTGATCACCATTAGGCTTTCAAAATAAAAATTAAATCAATAAATATTTCTTTAAATGTGAAAATTGACTAAAACATATTCTTTCAATTGAAAAATTTATTTCAATACCTGATATCCATGTTGGTTATGATTCAATTTAACATTATGAAGATGCTCATTACTTCGATCTTTGGATGGAAGCCGTTTACGAATAAATGCTAACATAATTAGCAACAAAAATTGAATTTAAAATGTTTTTCTCTCTCTTGAGCAATATCAGATTAAAAGACTATGACTCATGTTTTTCAGATATTGATGAATCATGTATTTTCTGATTGGTTCATATTTAACCATTCTTTTCTTTTTCCGCTTAATTCACTATTTGCATTATCATCAATCTATACGAAACGGATCTATATATAATGAACATCTCAAATGAACAATTTTCTCAATAGAACCTCTCATTGAATTGTGAAATACTAAACAAAAAAAAGCCCCTTTTTAATTTGTTTTATATCATGGAATCTGCGCCTATGAATACTATTAATGATTTATTTCGAGTTTTCTAGTTGCTAAAAAGCACCAAAAAGGTCGAAGCACTCTCCATCAAGATTTTCTCTTGTTAGATTTTTAGTGAATGGTAATTCGCAACCTGTCAAAAAGAAACGAATGTCAGTTTCAAGCGATATGGATAATGATATGTAGGTTTAATCGCATTTCTGAAATAGACTTTCATCCTTAAGAATACCTCCTTACCCCTTTCCCGGCGTGAAAATCAAAATTTCCTGATTTTTTGCTTTTCATCGATGTGCAACTTTGAAGTGTTCTCTATTGATCTGCGAAAAAATTTCTTTTGCAAGCTTTTAGACTTTAAAAAGAACAGTTATCGAGATCTTCTATCTCCGAAAAATCAATTTTAAACCTGTTTTTCAAAATATTTGCGCATTAGATTTAATCTGCTTGCAGCTATCTTAGTATTAGCGTATGATGACATTAAAGTAGTATGTTGAGATGCATGAGACATCGTTCGACTTCGGTCCGAGATAGCTGATTGAGTTTACTTAACATACGAACAATGTGATGCAATCGAGGATTTTCGATTTTAAATTTATATTTAGTAGTATGGGTTATTTTTATTATTTAAGGCTGTTACTAATTGTTAGTTGAAGAGTTTATATCTTCATAATGGTTCACTCTAGGCTGTTAATTCTTTCATTTACTATTTCATTTCTTTCCTTAGCAATATAAAAGAGGTATAGTTAACAAGTATATTGTTTATTTGTACCTGATTATTGACATCACATAAGCATAAGAAAAAACTATTATCTAAATGTAGAAAATTATTTCATTAAATGCATAATAGTCAAAAACCTACAAAAACTTTAAATAGAAAGGAAAGAACGTAAAGGCCCGTCGTTTCTCTGTCATAGTGAGAGGGATCAAGGTGAGATTTTCTCAAAAATAAGCAATTTGTCTTGGTAAAAACAAACGATATAAGAACATCTTAAAAAAACAGCTACGTCGAACTAGTGTCCAGCACTTGTAAAAAAAAGTTTTCAACTCAATCGAATTTACTATTTCGCAGAAACGAGAAGGAGACTTCGGTCATTTTGATTTATTATGAATCCAATATCTCAAAGAATATGCCATTCGAGAACTTTGAGTCTAGCACAATTTTGACTCTACTCTTCAAGATCTAAGTGCCCTGGAAAGATTCAAATTTTTCTAATGAACCATTTTCCAGCAAGTTATTGCAAGGATGATTTTTAAAAGGAATATTCAAAGTAAATTTATTTTTTTTTTAAAAAAGTCAAAGTGTAGATACCTATACAATGTAAATTTTTACTTCTTATTTAAGGCACTGCAAGAACAGAATATAGAAAAGTACATTATTTTGGATTTTTATAAGACATCATGACTTTAACTATATTTCAGTGACGAATTTTGATTAATACATAGCAATAACAAGTGAAAAGTTCGATGTTCGATCGATATTTTATTGGTTATTATTGAACCATTCATAATTTGTTTTATTTTCTATGAAGGTCTTCTATTAATTTTAATAAATGAAAGAAAATTCTTCATTAAAAGAGTGTCGAATTAAATATTTATTTCTAAATAACTTAATTGATATATCAATTAAAAAAACAGCAGAGGTCGCTTTCATAACTTATTTATTTTTGTTTATTTCATATTGAAGAAAATGTAAGATAATGAATATTGATTGAGCGTTTATTTTTTTGTTTCTAGATGTTGACCCAGTTTGCTCGTCCTCTTGTGTTCAGTGGTATTTCACCATCGTTTATTTCATTTCGACCATTGTCGATTTCAAATAAATTTTTTCAAGGTGCTACATCAAAATCTAAGAGTGGTAAATATACATATATTATTTGTTTTATATTTATATATATATATATATATATATGATTATAATTTAGATGATAAATCATTAGTTGAAGGAAAACAAAAAGAAAAAGTTTTACGAGTTGAAGATTCATTAAATGATTTATCATCAGTAAAATGGCGAACAGAATATAATGGAAAACGTTTATGGCCTCATGATCAATGGCCTGAACGTGATTTAGTTAATTATCCACCATATAAATTACGAGAAGCACCAAATCCAGTTCGATGGTATTGTGTACCTGAATCATGGTTTAAATTTTTTTATGAAAAAACTGGTGTTACTGGACCATATATGTTTTTCTATGGTTTACTTATTTATGGATTTAGTAAAGAATATATTGTTTTATGGTATGATTTTACGGAATATCTTATTTTGGCTGCAGCTGTTATTACTGTTGTTAAAAAGTAATTAAAAAACAAATCTTATTAATATATATATATATATAAAACTTAAATTTTATTTAAGACTTGGTCCATCAGTTGGTGATGCATTTCGAGGTTGGCAACAAGAAGAAGTTGATCGATATAATTCCGTTGTTAATAATTCAAAAGCAATGGCTGGAAAAATGTTACATTCATATGAAGAATCATTAGAACGTGCTAAAACAATTGGAAAATTACATGAAGCACGACAAGATATAATTAATATGGCATTAGAAACCGCATATAGAGAACGAATGAAACAAATGTATGAAGCTGTTAAACGTCGTTTAGATTATCAAGTTGCTTTACAAAATGCACGAAAAGATTTTGAAAGAACAAATATGATTAATTGGATAACAAATGAAGTTAAAAAATCAATCACTGATAAACAAGAAAAAGATACTTTACAAGCATGTCTTAATCAACTTAAACAAATAGCATCACAAACACGATGAGTCAATTATATATCCTTTTTCAAAGACAATTAAAGACATTCCTTCTTGATTAGAAAGTTTTTCCTTGAATTCCCTTCCCAAAATATAGACTAAAAAAAAAGCAACAAGTAGATACAGACTCATTATATTAATATCAATTTCTTCTTTTTTTTTTTTTTTTTTATTTTTCAGACATCTTGTAAAAACACAAAGAAAAAAAGGAAATAAGAAAAATGTAATATCATCGAAAATAATTATTTGTTTTTGTTTTCTTATAATTATCATATAGAAAAGATTGAATTATTTTACGTATCAATCGAAACATAAGAATTTTGCAGAAATCATCGTGAGAAAAATGTGTTGATTGAATTTATTCAAATATTTTATTTATTGAAATAAGAATTAATCGAAATCAAGCTATTTGAGATTTGTTAGCAATGTATAACAATCGAAGACAATTCTTGTTCGTTGAATATTTGTCAAACAGTTTCGAAGAGGTTTTTGTCATATTCTTATGTTATTTAGTCAATTATAAATTTGCATATAATAATATAATTGTCAACAGTGAAATTAATTTGACGAATAAATTTTATTCAAGTTCGAATTGTTTAAATAAGATTGTGCCAGATTTATCTGTTTGTGATACGAAATGGATAATATTAAGTGAAAGTCTTATTTCGATTGAGACACTCTTAAATATATTATTTTCATTAAATTAGCTTTAATAAACGATTTGAACTAATATTGATATTACTTTGACTAAATAAAATTGAACAAGATAAAATCTTTTAAATATTTATAGGACTGTTTTCAATTTCAATCTTTGATTTTATCAATTAGAAAATAAGATTAAAGTTTAATAGACAAATAAAAAAATTGTTCTATTTAGTATTTTAGATCGACTTATAAGACAAAAAAAAATGAAAAAATTAAACATTCGTCAGTTTGGTATTGGAACAATAATGAAATATCGTCCATTAATATCATCAGATTCGAAGTAATATCGTTTTTTTTTGATTAAAATAATTTTCAAAAAAATGTAAAATATAAAATTGTAGATATGTGTTTACAATAGGTGATGCTTGTGTTTATGTATGGATTGCTAAAACAGGAGAATGTTTAAGATTAATTAATCACAATTCAAATTCAACTGATCAAATAAATATTGTTGCTATTGCTATCAATCCAAATAATCAACTTCAAGTATTTAGAAAATCTTTTATTTTTTTCTCGTTTAATATATAAATGATTAAGAATATTAAATTAAACTGAAAACAAAAAAAATATTTTATTTTTATTTTAGTTATGCATTGCAGAGCAAAATGGTATTATCAATGTTTGGGATTATGAAGATGGAATTCTTATTCATGTACGTTTTTTGTTTTCAATTAGAGATTTATTTTGAAAAAATAACATTGAGTCAATGCCAAAATTTTAATAAGAATTAAGTCTATTTTCATGCTCTTTATTAAAAATGATAACAGATACTCTTATCATTGAAAGAAGGTGATTCAAACCTTGAATATTTATCAAATTTAATCAATAATTAATATGTGTCTTATCTTATTTTATTAAAAATAAATAAATAATTTGAAATCGACTTGAATAACCGGTCACATAATTCAATATAAATTCTCTTCTATTGTTATCCTCAACATTTTCAATGAGTTGTCCTCTTCTAGATTACTATTTATATCAGTTTCAAGTTTAGTAAAAATACTCCAAATCATCTCTCTTTGATTCAGGTCTCGCCTTTAGCACTGTTCGGTGTATGTTAGGCAAAACAAATCTTGTTGATTAACGTTTTCTTTTGTCTTGTGATAGAGTATTCCCGTCGATATTTCCATCGAATAACTTTTCTTTTGTTGTTGGTGATCGCAATATGCCTTCGAGACGATCAAATTGTTTCGATTTCTTATCATTATTTTCTCTTTAAAATTTTAGTCAACTAGTTCTTATGTTATTTATCTATGCTTTTACTTGATCTATCTGTTGAATAACATCATTGTACTGATAAAAATGCAAAGCTTCCTTATGCAAAATCATTTGAGTCTCTATTGTTATTGTTCTGAAAGAGCATGAAAAATAAACTTAAATTGTTAAGTTTCGATCTCAATTTGTTATTAGGCTAAGAACTATAATAGTTTAGTTGGCTTCGTAGAAATTTTCACTCGCTTCTCTTAGAACTTAGTAAAATAAAACAAACAAAGTAACCAATTCGAACTTTGACAGAAGTTTTGTCAAGTATTTGACTAAAAAGCAATCTGAATCGTTTTCTCATTAGATTTTTATAAGTTTGAAAAGCATATAAGTAAAATATGAAATTAATAATGAGAAAAAAAGATCTAAATAAAAACTATGTACTATTAGAAAATTGTATAATTTAGACGATAAAAGTAGAAATGGAAATAATCGATTTATATTCAATTGTTAATTCTGGTTTATATTTATTTGTTAAAAATACTAAAAATGGTAAAGATTTAAAAAAACAAAATCAAAGAATTTTAATTCTTATAATTCTAATTGTAGTATATTCACTTAGTCGAATTGAATCAATTCGTCATAAATCTTCACCTATTGTTTTATTTGATAAACTTCCATGTTTACCAAAAGCCATATCATTTGATAAAAAAGTATTTGATTTTGTTTTTGTATTTAAAAATAAAAAAAAAGAACAATCAATATAATTAAGGGTGAATTATGTGTTTTTATTAATGTTGATGGAACAATAATTTACATATTAAATCTAATAAATAATCAAATTAAAAATATATTAATAACAAAAAAAAATTTATCATATCATGATAAAATAACATGTGCACAAATTCATCCAAATGAAGAATCAATTGCATTAGGAACACAATCTGGTCGAATAGCTCTTTGGTATGAACCTTTTTTTTTTCTTTTTAAATATTATCTATTTAAATAATTATTTATTTAAGGTATAATTTTATTAATTCAACTAATAAAGAACCAACAGTTTCATATTTACATTGGCATTCATTACCTGTTCTTTGTTTAGCATTTTCAGTTGATGGTAATTGATTTTCTTTTTTTGTTTCTTTTTTTATTTATTTATTTAAATATTATATAAATATATGAAAGGTTCATATTTATTATCTGGTGGTCATGAATGTGTACTTGTTAAATGGTTATATAGAAAAAGTGAACCAACATTTCGACCACGACTTGGTGCACCTATTATTCATGTTACTTCGTCAAGTGATCAAACATTTTATGTATCTACTCATTCAGATAATTGTATGCTTTTATTTGTTGATTTTCTTTTATTTCAATTAATTTTCTTATGGTTTATTTTTAAGCTCTTCATATAATTGGAAGTAATTTATCAATTCAACAAACAATCGGTGGAATAAATCATATGTTTCTTCCTCAACAAGCTTCATTACCAGCTGGTAAAAACAAAAAAAAAATCTTCATCTTTATTGTAGAACACTTCTACAAGTCTATGATTGGTTCAGCTAATAGTATTATTCAAATTTTTTTACGAAATCATCCATAGTTAATGATCACAATGAGTAGAGTTAGTTAATGTTTATTGTCATGAGTCCTTAAAAATATTGTTGAATCGTTTATTTTATTGATTGATCTATATTCGAAATATTGGGACGAAATATTCTCATGAGATTGATAAGTTTTTAATGAGACAATTATTTTAATTTAAATAACACGGTCTATATTCCTTTTTCAATCGTTTATTAAAAATACCTGTCTATTTATATTATACAAATACGATATTGTTTATTTTTTTTACAATAAACATTCAATTAACTGTTTTTTTTCCACAATAGCATAAGCTGCTTTTTTTGAGTATGATTAACGATAAAAATTCTTATATAAGGATCTTCTATTATGTTTCATTCATATATAATGAAAAAACATTTTCAAAAAGAAAAAATCAAAATGATTTTCTCAGAAAGTTTTCAACTTTTAAACATCTAAAAATATTTTTTATTTTATTTTCTTTGAAGTACCTAAGAGTGGCTTTCCTAAGACATTTACTGGAGAAAATTTAATTATTAGATTTAAAAATCACGCATCAGTTTTGAGATCAAGACATTATAAAATTAATCAATCAAAATATTGTTATTATCATTTTTTATTATCAAATATCATTCAATCAAACTACACCGAAACCTAATACCATTTAGCAGAAGTAAGCAAACGGATTTTTTTTGTGAGGTTAACGATGTGATATACAGATGCTTTACAAATTCGCCTTGAGAAAATGTTTCTCAAATAAGAGCTGATGTAGCCAACATTGACAAGTATATCTGAGACTAAGTTCATAGAAACAAGGATGAAAATACATCTTGTATCCACTAGTACCAATATTCTGATTGCGACGTAAGATACTAAGAAAAAAAGAGTTGGCCTATTGTTATAGGATGATGTAACCCTCTATCTATTGATCTGAATAAACATATCTATAACATAAAAACAAGAAATAAGCTGTTAATTCTATCTGGGGAGAACACAAACTACTACGTTGGAAATAATACTTTGCCAAGGGAGTACTGCTATAATTTCAAATAGAATAAATAATGAATTTGATATCAAATGAAAGCGCGTCAAAAATGGGATTTATCAATATTAGATAGTAAGGGTTCTGTCAAACTTTTTATATCAAACATAACAAATTTCTAGAAATTTTCACTATTTTAGTATGAAAAAGTTTCTTTCATGAGGCAATTCAAAAACTAAATTTGATTCAAAGATCTTTACAATAAAGAATAACTTTTAAATTATTTTTTAAGGTATTCATACATTTATGCGTCAAGATGCACTTGTTATGAATAGTGGAAAACCTGGTTATCTTCAATTCATGTCAATTGAAAATGGAAAATTACTTTATAATGTAAGAATAAATATTCTTTTGTTTTTTTTAATGTTAAATTTAATTTCATTTAAATTAAGTTGGATATTGTTGGAGAAAATTATGTTTCACCAAATGATATAACAGAACAATGTCTTTTTACAGATATTAAACGTTTAGCTATTGATCGAACAGGTTTTATTTTTTTTGTTATTTTTTAAAGATGGATTTTGTTTTTTGAAAAATTTTTGTTTTACAGAAACATGGTTAGTTACTTTTGAGGAACGTTCATCAAATTCAAATTCAGATGATCATCAAAATGAAAGAAAACTTAGATTTTGGATATTTAATCAAACAAATAATCAGTAAGATTTATTTTAATTAATTATTTTACTTTATTTACATTATTAAATAAAAAACAAAACATAGATTTGAATTAAATACAAGTATAATGTATCCACATGGACAAGAAACATTAAATGAAATGTTATTTCATCCAAATAAACTTGAATTAGCAACAACTGGAAATGATGGATTTATTAAAATTTGGACTTTTATTCAAGAAAATCCAATCACAAGTAAACATTTTTATTTCAAATAAATATATCATATGATTTTATAAATTGATAAATAACAGTTTCGAGTTAATCATATAAAAAAATTTCAATGTGATTCATTCAATATTTTAAAAATTGATTTCCATTCGAAATTTTCTTAGTAAAGATAATATTTATTGAAATAATTAACTTGATTGATATAATAAAAAAAAAAATTTTTATTACTTAGAACGTGTATCTCATTGGCGTTGTTTATCTGGTCATACAAATCGTTCATATTCAAGTTCAGCATTATGTTATTATAAATTATCATCAACAAATCAAATAAATTTATGTTGTTCATTTGAACATTTAGTTACTGAATGGATTGATAAAACAAATGATTTAAATGAAGAATCTCGTTATGAATATTCACGTTGTTTTGCTCATTTTGATAGAAAAAATTCAATTCAATTTATTTTATATTCATCTGATCAAATTTTTGTTTCTCATAAAACATTAGTTAATTTATGGAATTGTTTAAATGGACAATTTATTAAATCATTTTCATGGCATGTTCATGCATATGCTCAAGATCCAAGATCATCTTTTGTTGCACTATTTGATAAAAGTTTTCGTAAGTTTATTTATTTTTTTTTCGAAAAAAAAAACAAAATTTATTGAAAAAATAAAAAATTTGTTTTTTAGTTCATTTCTATTCATTTTCTGATGGCAAATGTCATTCACGTAAAAGTTCATTATTTCGACGTGTAACATCAGCTGCATATATACCAACTAAAAAATCATCGTCATTTGTTCCTTTTCAACATTCTCGATTAGTTTTTTATGTTCCACAACAAGTAAGATAATTAAAACATCTTTATTTTATTTAGTATTAAATCAAAATTTGTGATAAAATCATATATATATGAGTAAATTGCAAAATTACTGTAGCTTTATATTCTTATATGTAAAATTTCAATAAGTTCTGTTCGCCTGAATAAATCTCTATGATTTTATTTCAGGTGATATTTCTCTAAGAAGTCTCAAGATATCAGGAGCACAAAGTTAAATAGTTTGATTTTGACTGCTAACTATTGAAATAAATTGTCATGTAATCAATTCGTTCTTCTGTTATTTGAATTTCAAAAGTTGTTAATATTATAGTTAACAATTTTATACTTATCGAATATCAAACTGATTAGCTCTTACATGACATTTCTTGTGACACTTTTTTTCTATATACCATATATACAGTCAATTCTTGAATTGCTATCACATAAGATTAAAAAACGACTTTGACATGTAATTAGAAAGTTAGACTAATTTTTAGTAATATAAAGTATGAAATAAGTATTAATAAACTAATTGTCACATGAGATTACTTATTTTGCTTGACGTATGATTTTCTTAAGGTATGACAGATTAAGCTGAAACTTTGATTAGTTTTTCCACTAGTTGTGATCAACTATTGTTCAAAATATCGAGATCAGAAAGTTTGTCTTTCGTAGAGAAGAGAAAAAATATGATAAAAATATCACACGAGATTTATGATGTGCATGACTACCCCATAGCTGAAGCCAAAATAAACATATTATATATCAATTGATATCACATTTTAAAGGTTATCAACAGTTATGAGAATCTATACTAAATTGTATCTCACAAGTTGATAAATTCACAGAAAAAGGTGACTAATTATATGCATTCTCTAAATGACTGTACATTTGCAAATTTTATGGCTTTGAAAATGTAAACACCGAATATAATTTAGGACAAATCATAGTTTTTCAGGTGCTAATTCTTGATTAAACATGATTCCTCATTACAAAGAAAAAACTCAACGTTAAAATCTAAAATCCGGTCGAAAAATTCAACTGAGCCGTGCATTGCCAAAGTCATATGACCTTGAATTCAAACAGTAATTTATAAAAAAAAAAACTTTCATATCTCGACCAATCTGATAGTGGTAGTCAAGAAAATTTATTCATGTTCTCCTATCATGTTGTACCATAGAATGTATTAATCACTGTTTTTAAAATCGAAAATTTTGTTTTCGTTCATTTTTTTTTTCGAAACGATATAGTAATTTTGTAATTCACTCATATGTATATATTTAAATATGCAAGAAAAAGAATTGAATTTAAAATTGTTTTGTCATTTAAAAGAAAAATGAGTGGCGACGTCTGACCAAAATTTGAGTTGTTTTATTTCGCGTCATCTTTTGATCAAATTTATCGTTGGAGAATAGAATTATAGATCAAATCATATAGTCAATTTTATTGTTTCAATGTTATCAGTATATGTTTTTATTTCGATTTTTATACAACATATTTCTTTTTGTAATTTGATTTAAGATAAATATATCTAAATTATATGTTTTCATTGATATTCAATCTGAAATATTATATCTTAGTTCGAACATTTTATTTATTTCGAAAAGAAATTTTGATTTAATTTTCGATAGTTAGTCTTTCTTATATTTAAAATATTGACAAAATATACTCGAATAATTTTTAACTTTTATTTTCTAATAGATCTCTTATTTAACTAGTTGTATAATCTTTGGTAGTTATTTTGAATAATATTTAAAAATAAAAGTTATATTTCAACTAAAATCTTTCTAAATTAAAAATTTTTTTTAAATAAATATTCTTTTTATTTTATTAATCATATATCTAGAAGTATATCAACAAATTCATTAAATCGATATTGAAATCAATATAAAAGAATTATATTTTTGTTTTTTTGCGTGTTGTATTAAGTCTAGAGTTTATATGAAATAATAATTATATGAGAAGAATAAAGAAAATGAATGAAAATTTCTGGCAAAGATTTTGCATTAAATATTTATTGAAGGTTTTTTTTTGATTAATAAATTTTCAAAAGAATATTCTCTTTTGTTTAACTAAGATCTATATGACATATTAAATAAGTAGTATGATCTATTTTTAGGGTTTGAAAACATTTATCGATGATGATGATGATGATGATAAATATTTAATTCCAATAAATGGAAAATTAGATCGATTAAATGAAGAAAAAACAATTTTAGCAAATTTAATTAGTCAATCACAAAGTAGTTTAAATCAAGATTTAATTAATAAACAAAAATCTTTTGATGATTTAACTAAATTAAATAAAACAATTAACCATCTTAATGAACAAGTTTGTTTCATTTTTATAAATTCTATATAATTTATTTTCTATTTAATATAAATAGTTTTTAATAACACCAGCTTATTTATTACCATCAATTGATAATTATTGTATTGATTCATTAAAGCGAATGCTTTTACCAATTGACAATGATAATAACAAGTTTGTTTTATTTAAAATAAAAAAAGCTTCAAAATAATATTTATATTTTTTTGTTTTTTATTATAGAAATATTCATTCAAATGATGATAAACCAATTGATAATATATCAACAATGTCTATCGATTCCGAACAAGATTCATAGTACAAAAAAACAAAACAAAAGAAATGAAAACAAAAAAAAATTCATTCTTAGTTTTTTTTTTCTTTTCTGTTATTCATTCAGATTTTGTTGTTATTGCTTAGAAAAACAAAAATATTTTCATTGTTAATGTGTTTTGTTTTTCATTGGTATATTTCATATGATGACTTGTTTTAAATACATGTCATTTGTTAAGTTAACATTCGATTTTTAAAAGAAAAATCAAATCATACTGAATATTTCTATATTCTTTGTTTTGTTTTCAAGATTTTATTTCTGATTAAACTTATTATTGACTGATTCAAATATATATGAAACAATAATTAATTAAGACAAAAAAAAAGCGATTAAATTAAAGTAAGTTATTATCATACATAATATATATATATATAGATAACCGAGGAAAAAAAAATATATTTATACTATAATTTTATTTCGGAGAAAATATTTTCTTTTGAATATTCAACAAAATGATAAATAATGGTAAGATAAAAGAATTCGCTAAGATTTTGCTCATATTAGATTGATTTATTTATTTATAATAATAATATTTATAAATAAATCAACAATAAATTTTTTTAGAATGTCACCAAATGCATTTAGTCGTGTATTCAGTACATCAGTAAATACAGTATTTAAACGATTTCTATTAACATTAATTCGAACAACATTAATCTATATAATTGCATTATTATTTGTTCAATTACCAACATTTTGGCATTATGTTATAACATTAGGAAAAGATGATCATAAAAGAGATAGACAAAAAAGAATTCGAGCTAAATTAATTGATGATTCAAATCCATCATCACCATATAGAGCTATTGAAGTTCTTGATCAACTTCAAACACAACCTGAAGATGAACTTGAAACATTGGCTAGCATTCCTGATCTTTGTCTTCAACGTCATCCACAAAAACAAACATTCGGTGTTAGACAAATTCTTGATGTTGAAGATGAAACACAACCAAATGGAAAAGTTTATAAAAAGGTTTCAATTGTTTTTATTTTTTAAATAAAGAATAAGAAAATTAATTTTTTTTCCTTTTTTAAAAAAAAAATCGAATAGTTTGTTTTGGGTGAATATGAATTTACAACATATACTGAAGCTTGTGATAGAATAACTTCAATTGGTCGTGGTTTATTATCACTTGGATTAAAATCAGGTGATAAAATCTTAATTTATGCTGAAACACGTCCAGAATGGTTATTAACGGCATTTGCTGCTTTTCGTCATGGTTTAACTGTTGTTACACTTTATTCAACATTAGGTGACGAAGCTGTTAAACATGGTATTAATGAATCACAAGTTCATATCATAGTTACTTCACAAGAACTTACGTCTAAACTTGATGTAAATTTTAGATTAAAATTTATTAAAAAACAAAAAAAAATAAATTCTTTTCTTTTTATTTAGAAAACATTAGAGCAAACAGACAAAGTTCGTTATGTTGTTTATTTTCCATCTGTTGTTAAATCACAAGCAGATAAAGTACCTAAAGATAAAAATAATATACAATTTATACATTTACAAAAATTAGAAGAACAAGGAAATAATGCAAATATTGGTATTTAGTTTTTTTTTTTTGGTTTTTGTTATCGAATTTTTTCTTATTTAATTTCTTATTTAGATGAATCTATTTTAAACAAACGACCTCAGAAAACAGATATTGCAGTTATTATGTATACAAGTGGAAGTACTGGAACACCTAAAGGTTCTTTCTATTTTTATTTAAATATTTAACCTTAACTACGAGTAGCCAATTATTGATGGAATACATTGACAATTCTTTTATTATCTCGAAATCGTATCTTTTTCATGAATATTTTATATTTTACTATTCACAGAAGAGCGACTAATGAACAAAAAATTTTCTCAAAGTAAAATCGATGAAGTGGAATCGAAATTCTAAATTTTCCTTAAAAAGTAGTTTAAAAAAGAATCATATAATGTGTCATTCGATGATAGTTATTATAAATCTCTTGTTAGTTTTTTTTTCTTATAAAGGTGAAATAGGTTCAATAAATTGTTTTCAAGTAAAACTCGTTGATTGCCCAAAATAAAATTTGACATAATTAAAGTCGTACGAAATCTCCTATAGATTTATTTGAGTAAATATCGATATTAGTGTTGATCATGTAATTATCGTTTTGTATGTGTACTCTTATCAATAAGTAAAACCACATAGTTAGACTTAGTTAATAGAGAAGACACATTTTTTTTTTCGATACCTTAATAAGAGAAATATTTAAATATAACTAATCGATAAAATAATTGTTTTCCCGTCATACGTTATTTATTGTTTTGTTGAATTAATGAAAGAATAAATCTTTTCTGTAGTATGAATCAATATTGTTTATGATAAAGGGTAGACATATGAAAACCGATGATGACGTAAAATATTTTACATAAAATAGTTAGCAATTTTTCCGAGCTCTAGATTGTTGTATGTATTGATGTTGAATAGATGAAATATAGATGTCTGGCGTTTTTTTTTTTTATAAAAATAAAAACAATTTTTCGTTTGTCAGAATCTGCTCATTTATTTTAAACGTCTTTAAAAAGACTTTTTATTAATTAATCTAAACAAAAAATATAATTTGTCTTATAAAAGAAAGTAAATCTATTTATTCTAAATGTGTAGGTGTATTAATAAAACATGAAAATATCGTTGCTGCAATGACTGGTCAAAAAGAACGTGTTTTTCCCATGGTTGATGTTGATAATGATGTATATATAGCTTATTTACCACTGGCTCATATTCTTGAACTTTGTTGTGGTTTGTTTATTTATTTGAAAAATAAAATGTTTTAATTATTAATATTTAAATAGAAATTCTTGTATTTTATTTGGGTATTAAATGTGGTTATTCATCACCTCAAACGTTAACTGATCAATCAACAGCTATAAAACGTGGTCAAAAAGGAGATTTACAAGTTCTTCGACCACATTTAATGTGTTGTGTACCTGTAAGTATAAATAAAAAACAAATCGAAATTTTATTTTATTTTATTTTATTTTTTTTCTAAATAATATTTATTTAAAAATAGACAATTCTTGATCGTGTTCATAAAGCAGTTAATGAAAAAATTAATCAATCAAATTTTATTCAACGTCAATTATTTCATTTATCATATAAAATGAAAGTTAAACGTTTAGAACTTGGCCTTGAAAGTCCAAATCTTGATCGGTTATATATTATTGATAGACGTTTTTTTTTTCTAATTTAAATAAACATATATGTATGTTTAGATTAATATTTTCTCGTTTTAATCAATTGGTTCTTGGTGGTCGAGTTAAAACCATGTTATGTGGTGGAGCTGTTTTAAGTGAAGATACTCAACTTTTTGTTCAAGCTGCACTTTGTGTTACACTTTTTCAAGGTTATGGTCTTACTGAAACATGTGCAGCTGGAACTATTGCTGATCGTTTGTATCGAAATTTATTCTTAATGATATTATATTAAAATTTTTGTGTGTATTTTTGTTTTTTCTCTTAAGGATATGATATAACAATTGGTCGTGCAGGTTATCCACTTGTTTCATGTGAAATTCGTTTAGAAAATTGGGATGAAGGTCAATATAAAAATACAGATAAACCAAATCCACGTGGAGAAATTCTTATTGGTGGAAAAGTTGTTGCTGATGGATATTTTGCTGATGCAGCTAAAGAAAATGTTAATTTTAAATTAATTAATGGACAAAGATATTTTTCAACAGGAGATATTGGAGAAATATTTCCTGATGGAACAATTAAAATTATTGGTTCGTTTTATTTTCTATTTCTTTTTATTATTTTTAAATTTACATAAAAAAAATAACAAACAAACATTTAGATAGAAAAAAAGATTTGGTTAAATTGCGTGGTGGAGAATATGTTTCATTAACAAAAGTTGAAATGGCAATAAGTAAAGTTCCTATAATTGAAAATAGTTGTCTATGTGCATCACATTCAGCAGAATATACAGTTGCACTTATTTGTCCAAATACAAAACAAATGTCTGTAAGTTTATTTCAATTATTATTTATATTAAATTCAATTTTTAATTAAAGATTTTTTTATTCGATTATTTTAATATTTATATCATTGATAGAATTTCAATTCGACATAAGCCCCCCCCCCCCCTCAAAAATCGATCTCAGGCCAGGAACATCCAAATTGCCTGAAACTTTCAGGATATGTTGGGGCTGATGAACCATGGCTATGGTAAAATTTTCAGCCCTATATCATGACGTTTGATAGAGATATTTACCAAACACGGATCAAAAATAGCGCATCAGTATCTTCACGATTTCTCTGTGGGCCTTCATTCTATATATTTAAATTTTTTTTGTTTGAAAGCTCGTGTCTGGGGGGTAGGGACTATGGTCGCCCTTTTTTTAAAATTCTTACTTTTTAAACGAAAAAGAGAGATGACAAGTTCAATGACTCAAAAAAACCCCTAAAAAAATGGCGCTGTTTCTATAAAGATGTTTTCTTATTTGATAATAAAGAGCTTATGTTAAAAAGAGAGGGCGACCATCGACCCTAGTCACGAGCTTTCAAACAAAAAAAAATATTTGGCTTTATGTTTTACTGTAATAGACTTCTGCTGGAGATACGTTATTGTACTCACGTTTTGAGAAAAACGAAAAATGATTTTTCGGTTTTTTTTTATAAAAACCGCTTGTTTTTCGAATAGGGGAGTGAGGAAAATCTTCTAAAATTTTTCGAAAAAAAGAGGTGCCGAATAAAAATTATTATCGCTATTAAAGAGCAGATGACGGGCTATTTCTCCATGAACTTATCTCAATTTCGATGATTCTAGTGAAAAATGACTTTTTTTGAGGGGGAGGGGCATAAGTCGAATCTCTTTTTTTCCTCGAAATCGATTCGTTTCAATGATTTTCTTTCTTTTTTGTTTGAGTGATAATCATTTATATCTCATTTAAATAGAAATATAAAAAAACCCAATGGAAATATTTCATTGTTCGTTTATCAAAAATTCTTTTCTAAAATAATTCTATCGCATATTTTTTCCCTTAATTTAAAAAAAAATTTAGTTTGTTTTTTTTTTTGTTGAATATAGAATTATACAGAAAGACATTTTGATGAAAAAGAATGGCAAAAATTAGTTGACAACGAAGACTTTATTGAACAAATTCTTAAAGAAGTTCAAGATGCTTGTAAGAAAGCTGGAATTGAAAGATTTGAAACTCCTCAACGAATTAAAATTGTACTTGAAGCATGGACACCTGAAACAGGTCTTGTTACTGATGCATTAAAATTAAAACGAAAAGCTATTGAACAAAAATATAAAGATGATATTGAAGATCTTTATCAAGATAAAAAAGAAAAATCAAATACCGAAAAAAAAAGACCAACACAAAATAAAAATCAATTAACAAATGAGAATAAAACATCAGAAAATAATTCAAAACATAAATCAATTGATGATAAAAAATCAAATGAAAATCAAACTGATATTGCACAAAACATTACTGAAAATAGTGATTCGATTAAAAAAGATCTATAATTATTTCATCAATTAACAGTTATCTTCATATTTGTTTTCTTTTCTTTTTCTTTTTTTTTTTTTTGAAACTTACATCATACATTTTATTTCTGCCATTAAGATATATTATATTAAAACTATGTTTGCTTTTCTATTATTAACTATTCAAGGTTCTTTTTTTTTCTCAATAAAACAGTTTTCCTCATTTTTAAATTTTACTTTGTTATTCACTATCTATTGTAACATAAAACGATTTTTATTTTATTTCATTATGTATATGAAATTATCGAATATCTAGATAGAAGTATCTTTAATCCTTTTCTTTTTAGTTTTATTACAAATTCATTGCATTGAATTTTATATAGAATTAAAAAGAAATACATATTATTATGATTGAATATTCTCTTATAAGTTTTTTCAATAAAATTTTCTTTTTAATCTATTAACTTATTCTTACTGTTGCATCTCAAGATTTCTATCATTAATATCAAACATCAATGTTTGATTCAATAAAACAATCTAGAAATAAGAAATTTTTACCCATTCACATAAATATACATACAAATAAATTGTTTCAATGAATATCTCATTGAGACACATAAACAAATGACTTAAATTGAACCAAGATTCAATGAAACTCAAACATCGAAATTTTTTTTTTCAATCTCAATCTGATATCCGATCTTAATATGACAATCGAGTTTGTTTTTGGGATTATTTTTATTGTGAGTAGAGTCTAGTCTACACATATCTTTGAAAATATTGACGATTATCTTACAGAAATAAACTAATCATTGACTATAAATTTTTGAATATGAGTTGTTCAATCATTTTCGACGATCAATCGTATGAACTTTATTCCTAAAATAATAAGATATATTTATTTAAATTTTTATTCACATCAGATTTTCCTTGACAAAAACACTTCATCTATCCTGTAACTGTTCAATATGGTCGAACATTAGCTAATGTTTGGAACTGTAACAGTTTTCAATTAAGTTTCGGTTAACTTCATTCCAACACATTTTGTGTAGTTTGAAGCAATTACAAATCCAATGAATAGGTTACAATGAAATATCTAATGGTACGAGGTCATTCTAAAATAAAGGTCTATTAAATACCAAGCTTGTTCAAACTTCTTCGGCAATTATTCAAGTATCCATATCCAAAATAGTCTTAATTCCAATAGAGGATTTATGACAAATATTCGCTATTCATTAAAAAAAAACTTTTTCGTTGAAATTTGATTTTATCTGAAAGAATTTTGTAACTAAACGTAGTATCGATTTATTCTAATCTATGACATGAAAGTCTTGATAGAAAATGATCGCTAATATCTCGATCAGTTAGAAGCAATCAATGAGAGTGAAAAGCAGTCAGTTAGAATCTTAATTTAATGCTCTTTCATAATGTATGTGCAGAACTATCTTCGACACAAGTTAAATCAACTCTGAGAAAATTTTTTCCAATGGCTAAATTGTTCACTATTGTATTTTGACTGAGGTCTAATTAATGTAAAATGTGAAACAATTTTCGACATGTATTTCATTAAATAAAAACAATGGTTTTTTGCAAGTTTCTTGTTAATATTCTAAAGGAATTATTTCTTGTTGTATTTATTCATATGATTCTTAATCGATTGAGAATATTATAGATTGATTATTTTATCGATAAATGACACATTTTAACATAGTTATTTCAAACAAGTGAAAAAATTTTCTTATTTCGTTTTTATATTCATCAAAATTGATTTTATCTCCTCTTTTTTTTGTTGGACAATATTCTTAAAGAAACAGATAACTAGTATACTGAATACATTTATTTATCAATTATAAATCGATCTGCTATTTAACCTTTGTTATTGCCTTTTTTTTTCTACGAGACCGTTCAGATGTCTTTAATACATATAAATCAACGATAAAATAGATGCCATTTGTCTATGCTTATATAAATCAATCAATCTTATTTCTCTTCTTTAACGATGCTTTTACTTATCAAGTAGATTTTATGTTTCTTTTTCTTTTTTTTTTATTATAAACAAAAGAAAGTAACTATGTTGAACTGCAGACGAATTGTTTAAATAATGCTTGAGGCAAATAAACAAAAGATGATGCCTTTTTCTAGTCGAAATAAGAAAGAGTTTATTAAACTAATCTTGTTCAATCAAGTATATTCACTTTTTTCTTTTTATTTAGATAAATGCATTTAAAAAGAAAATATTATTTTATTTTTATTTGTTCATTTAGTCTTCACTTGATTAATAAATTAAAAAATTTCAAAATAGATAATTTGTTATTTTTTTTTAACTACATAACTATCTTATATATGAATACAAGAAAATATAACTATTTTAGTTGAGATTATTTCTCTCATATTCTATATAAGAAAAAAAAAATATAATAGAAGAACATAACGGATATGAACAGGAAATAAATAAGGTATCGATACTTATAATAACATCTTCTCTATATTGAACCAATAAATGGAAATTCTTTTTCTTTTTTTTTTTTTATTATTAAGTGAAGATAATAATTGTTCATTGTCCTTGACACATTTTCTATTAGAAAAAGAAAGAAAAAGCGTTTCCTATCTAATTGAATATATTCTTTTTTCTTTTCGTCATAGAATATAAATAAATGTTATGTAACCGGATAATTGAGAAGACGATGCCGACTAATCTTCTATTAACTATTCATTAGAGAGAGAGAGACATCAAATATAACAAAAGACAGTTCACACATCATTTTCAACTCGATAGAGAATTTGTATAGAATATAATTCTATGTCTTTTTTTTTTCTTTTCAGATAATCTTATTAGTTTTTATTATGATATTAAATTAAACTCTAATTAATAATCATAAATTATGAATACATATAAAAAGTTCAGTAAATCAGACATAACTAATCCACTTTCAACATTTAAACAAATCAATAAAATATTATCAGATAAACAATCAAATATCAATAGAATAAATGTATGTATTTGAATATGTTTATTAAAAAATATTTACTTTGAATAATCAATGTAACATCGATTATTTAAATATAAATGATAAAAAAAAACCGTCAATTGACTTTTGTCCTTTATTAAATATGTTAACATAAAGTATTGATCGAAATTTTTTCGATACTTTTTTTTTTTTTTTATTGAAGCGTGATGACATTTCAAATGATACGTGTGTTGGAACTTAAATAGATATGAGAAGAGAACAAAAAACGAATAATTCTATTGATATAAATCAATAAAAAAAAGGTGTGAGATATGGATTTTGATTTCGTTTTTTTTTTTCTTTTTTATTCTTTCTTCATTGGTAAATCCAAATAGATTCTTTATTGTTAATTCTCATTGTTTTTATTCTAACCTTCTTCTTATAGATTGATTTGTAAAGTGTATCAAATTCGTTTTTCTCTTTTTTTTTGACGATTGTGATAACCTTCACACACATAGAAATTACATCACGGACTATCGTTACTTTTTTCCTTTTTTTTTTTTATAAAAGAATTGTAAAGAGAAAAAGAAAGTTTGTCTCTTTTTCTCTTGACATTTGTATAGGTGAGACATTTCTTGTTGAACATCATTCATGGCGTTACGTATACCACAAACTAAAATGACTACTATACGACAACAGGTATTGAAACGAATATTTCTTCTTTTGTTTGTTGACATAGATTTTTTTTTTCGATTGAATCAATATAAAAGATCATTGAGAATGAAATCTTTCGAATACTAAATTGTATATCGAAAGAGTACGAACATAAAAACTATGTACTCTTCAAATAACTGAAAGAGAATGTTTGACATGTATTTTTTCTTTTTTATTCCTGATTATATCTTGAATAATATTTGTCCCATTCTGATTTGTCATTTGTCTACGTGATTGAAATAGTATGAGCTGTTGTTCTTGTTGTTATCGTTGTCATTTATTTTTTTCAAATTTAATTTATATTCGAAAATCAATTGATGTTGAACTATTTCAGACAAATACTCAAGTAATCATTTTAATTCAAATTTTATTTTCAAAATTAACAATTTTAATTCTTTATTAATATTTAACTATAATTATATTTATCAATTTTTTTTTATCAAAATTGAATTTAGTCCATTATTGAAAATATCTAAATTAGTTTTGAAAAAGATCTTAAATGAATATTTGATACGTTGTGAATAGTAATGATAGATATTGTGGGTCGATCTTTTGCGATAATCTCTTCATTTATTTCGAAATGAATAGATCTTAACACATTGTTAATCTTTTTTTATAATGAACTAAATAAGAATTACATCATCTCAAATAAATATTCATTATTTTAACATTTTATCACAGTTCTTTTTTTTGAATGATATTTTGATATTTTAAAGTATAACTATTTAAAGTTCATTTCAACTAATTCATATTATGTATTTATATGATAAACTTTTCAATATAAGATTTAATTCAATATTTTTATTATTGAAAAGAAATGAAGTCTTTTGTTTTTAATTTGTTCCATATTTGATTGTTTGATATAACAGTTGTTGATTTGTATGTGAACCGAAACGATTTATTTAAATATAATAAGTGAAGAAATGATTAAATAATAGACAAATTCGATTGAAAACAGCTTAAACATTATTCTCATCGGTAAATATTTATGAATTTTCAGATAAGTGTATGTCTTAGTTTTCCTTATTTTCAATTTTAATTAATAATATTTGTTTCTTTTTTTCTTCTTCTTTTTTCACCAAGAGAATATATTTATAATCACGTAAATTATTTAACGTTCTATGAATAGCAACATCAAGTAGATAAGATTAAAATATGTCATGAAAGAAGAAAAAAAAACGAAAAGCTTCAATTATATTCTTTGTTCGAATTAGATTCAAGATCAAAAATTTTTTGTTCTAGTCTTTCATTTCTATTGAGAAAATAAAAATAATATAAAAATATGTTTATTGGTGGACATGAGAAAAATATTATTTCTGATTCGATTTTACTTCAAGAAACTTTAGGAAAATATATTCAATGGAGATCGAAGGTATC